TATATATATATATATATATATATATATATATATATATATATATATATATATATATATATAAATAAAATAAAAAGGAGTGAACAAATGTTAGTGTGCAACTAACTCCCCTTCCTAGCCCCCCACAAAATCCCACAACACATTCTGAGCAGGGTTTGAATCTTCAATATTGCATCACAGATAGCAACCCTGTCCTGTAGCTCAAGAGGTAGGAATCCCAGAGGAAGGGTTGACCAAAGTCCAGGTGCTTGATGTGGGAAGCCCAGACAAGTCCAGCTGTGTCCCTTTACATGATGCGAGTTGGAACTGCTGCCCTATGTGGTTCCCCCAGCCTGTCTCCTCTCCCACTACTACTCAGGGATGCTCAGCCGGTCTCCTCTCCCACTACTGCTACTCTGCCAGCTCCTAGAAGTGTGCTCTGCTGCCCAAACTAGATACCTAGCATGCTGGGTTATTTTGGCAGGCAAGAAGGGAAACTGTGATTTTTAAACTTTTGTTGAGATATAAACTTAACAGATTTCCCCTGCTGCACAATGAAGGGCTACCACAAACAAAAGAGGAGAGCTTCTCAAAGAAAATGCTCACAAGAATCCCATATGCCAAGTGTTAGGCAACCAAAACAGAGGTCAAAACATATCAGTGCTAAAAATAGAAGTAAAGTTAATTGGGTACTGACCATGAAACCTGGTAGTAGTGGTTGGGTAAATTTTGTTTTGAAGGTGTATAACAATTGCTTTGAACTTGCATTATAAAATGAGAGCTGACCTGAAAGAGAAAAGCAGGTTTTAAAAATTGCTAACATCAAGTTTCATATATATATACACACATAAGAAGATATAAATCCAAAACTGGTCTGAACAATGAAGGACCAGAGCCCCAGAAGAGGATACAAAGTGACAGGTACCACTCAGGCAGTCAGCATACTGCAAATGTCAGCAAGAAATTTGTTACTCTTCATTCCTGGAATTTGGAGCAGTATGATATGGGTTTTATATGTGTAGTTCATAAGTTCTTATACCTGCTATTGTCAGGAGTTGCTTCGATAAGTTGGTACTTGATCAAAAAGCCATCTCTTATGAAGTTAAAGGAATTTCAACTAGTGCCATATAGTCCACTTCCTTATTTCAGCAAACAATCAAATACTACCCTCTTTACAGAGCTTTGTGTTAGCCTGGTTACCTTATTGCATAGAAAAGGTCACCACCACCTGTGAGTGGCCAAAGAGTACAGTACAGATCTAAGAACAGCAGCTGTCCAAAATATCTGTGGCAGCATTGCAAAGTAAGGGCTGAGAAGGCAATGCAAGTCAGTTCACAGAACTTGCAACGAAAGAGAAAGCCCAGGTAACCTCTAAGTTTAGTTTTATTCTAGTGGCAGTTTCCATAGTACTTGTTGTCTAGACAGTATTTTAAAAAAGTTTTATTTTATTCCTCTTTCCATTTGAGAAATAGCTAAAGTCATCTTTTGGTTAATCCAAGTTCATCAGGGTATCTGAAAATGGGACAACTACTGGAAGACAAACAGTGATTTACAACATATTACCATTAAACCACTGCTTTTCTGTTCATAACCCTTCAACTACTTATTTATCATCAAGTAAGTTGTGAGAGGTAGGACAAGGTGTATGTCTATTTCTTAGTTCCATATTTGCTGAATGTTTTCACCATTTTTCAGAAGTCTCCCCTCACACATTATATCCAGACTTTTTAAAATCTGTGATACAGAAAAATGTCCAGTGTTCATAACTCTGGTTTTCAAATGGAGCCAAGTAATTTGACAGTTATGTACAGTACCTTCACGTCTCTCTCAATATGGTCTCCCTCCTCACCATGAAAAGGCAGATTAGTGTTGCTCCTAGGTTGAATCCTAATGTATTTCCACAACATTTACAGTATTACATACTTCTGCAATTTGGTAGAACCCAGCCATTACTAAATTTCAATCTATGAAGTCCACAATAATATAAAGTTACCTCCATCAAAGTCACAGTACACTCCTATTCTGTCCGGAACAGTCATATCTAGGGCTTTGGCTTTATTATTGTGCTTTGCAGCAAAGGTGGTTTGTAGCCAGTTGTTGACATGGATACACCAGCTTGTGTTAGTCTTTCCCAGTTGATCAAATTTTCCCAGATTTTTATACGCTACTCCCACACTGTAGGATTTGCAGTCCTTCTGGGCTCTCACCTCCCAGTAGTGCTGTCCACTTTCAATAGCAGTGTCTCCTGTAACAGATCACAGATGTAGGGTTTTTTTGGTTTTATAGACTTCCCACTGGGCAAAACAATGAAGCATACTCAAGAAATAATTGCTAGGTAAAGACTTAGATGTTGTAGACAGTGAGCCTTGTGGAAACAGACCAAAATCCCATAAATTTAAGACTATTAGAAACCTTGTGTATATTCATCACATTCAGTTAAGGTGGAACAGAGAGGCTTTTTCTGCTCTCTACCGAAGACAGGTAATTTAACAGAATGCTGTATTTAACAAAAAAAGTGTACCTTGATGCTATCACAGTTGGCACATTAGAAAATGTCATTAAGCAGAAGTATTTTAGCTATCTTTTGGATAACCTTACAATAAAAGACTACTTCTCAAATGCTAGAATTTCCTGCATACATAAGTATCTTCAGTCCCTGAATGAGCACAAGGACCTCTGCACAGATCTAAAAAGGAGAATCTAGAGTACAGATCCCCTAGCCTGGGCTCAGACTGGGAAGTCATGGTCAGAAAAACCTTGGGATTACAAGCTACAAATTCTCTCCTGATGGAAACCCAGATCTACAGTAACTCCTCACTTACTGTCCTCCCGCTTAACGTTGTTTCGAAGTTATGTTGCTGCTCCGTTAGGGAACATACTCGTTTAAAGTTGTGCAATGCTCCCTTATAACGTTGTTTGGCTGACTTTACAAGGGAGCATTGCACGAGTTCCTCTTCTCCGCCTCCTCCCCCTCCCTGCGCTTCTCTCCAGCCGGCTTTGAAGGGGAAAGCACCGCTTCTCTCCGGCCGCTGGCTGCGCGGCTGCCCCTGCTCCTCCTGAGTCCTCCGGCCCATGCTCGCAGGGCCGCATTCCGAAAGGGGCTTTAGAGCTGCAGGCCAGGGCCCTGCAGCCCCTGCGTTCCAGGTGGCCCTGCCTGCGGGGAGGAGGGGGGGCAGCTCCCAGAATCACGGCCATGGGGGCGGTGCCGTGCTGCACAGAACCACCTGCACATTCCCTTCACCAAACAGGAGTTGCCCCTCCAGCCTGCCCCAGCCTCCTCCCGCATCCTCACCCTGAGCGCCCTCCCACACCTTAACTCCATCCCAGACCCTGCACCCCCAGCCCTGAGCCCCTGAGGTAAGCCAGGGGCACCTCCCCACCACAATACAGTACTGTACAGTATATAATGCCTTTTGTCTGCCCCAAAAAAGTTTTCCTTACAACCTAACCCCCTGCATTTACATTAAATCTTATGGGAAAACTGGATTTGTTTAACATTGTTTCACTTAAAGTTGCATTTTTCAGGAACATACCCTGTTTCCCCGAAAATAAGACAGTGTCTTATATTAATTTTTGCTCCCAAAGATGCGCTAGGTCTTATTTTCAGGGGATGTCTTATTTTTCAGAAACGAAAAATGCCTTATTATCGGTGGATGCCTTATTATCGGGGAGGTCTTATTATCGGGGGGATGCCTTATATTACAACGAGAGGCAAAACTGTAAGTAGGCCTTATTTTCGGAGGATGTCTTATTTTCGGGGAAACAGGGTAACTACATTAAGTGAGGAGTTACTGTATCTACCCTTGCTCAACACTAAGTAAGCATTAAAGCAAAACATTCACCCTACCCAACACGGTGTATGATTCACCAGTAAAGCGATCTCTGCTGCCCCTTATCAATGGAGACCTCGAACTAACAGAAGTCCTCTTTGGAGATGGTGTGCCACTTCTATAAAACAAGAAACAAAATAATTTGCACGCCAGTATGGGGACGTTTATAGACCAGTCAAATAATTGACAGGAAGTTTTATTTCTCTTGCAGGATACAGATTAGTTTATGTGAGTCATGCCTGAAGTGTTAAGTGCTTGTGTTACAATTTCAAGTGGCATGCTGGACCAGCCATTAGCTGCACTATAAACTCTTCTATATAGAAATGAGCTAGTGATCATGCACAAGAAGGGCTGACGGAGAGGAAAGAAAATGAAAAGCAAACAAAAAAAAGATTTAATGAAAATGAGGTAGTGAAGAGGAAAGCCAGGAGCAGCTGAACAAGTGAATGAGAGAAGAATAAAATCAAAATTTAGAATTTAATTGAGTCATTTGTCATTCAAATTATATGCAAGAGGTAAATAAGTTTTCCCCAATTTCTTGTAGAAACCTAGAAAGTTTTGATTGCCATTTTCCAACATCAAAATTTGTAAGTAACTAATCAACATGGCACGTCACTTTTTATTGATATTCAGGTGTATAGTGAAGCATGAGACAAAGTGTTGACTTTCATCACAACACAGCCTGGAATGTCACTGCACTTTTTAAAGTTGTTTGCAGAAAAAAGTAGCAGGTCTATACCCCCATTGATAAATCCTATGGGCACTTTATTATATTTTTAGAGAAGTTTAAGAATCCAAGAGGCAAACAATGCTACAGTAACACTGAAGAGAATATTTTAAAGGAGATATTAAAGATCTAAAAAAGCATTTTACTATACAACGTAATGGGCCTGATGCTAGTATTTCTGTAAATACTAAATACAAGTTGGTGTGCTGAATTTCAATAGATGACAGGTGGAAAAAGCTAGCTGAGATTCAGCAGCTCAATAAATTCTTTTAATGCATTTAAACCAACTATTTATAAAGCAACGTTCTTCCACTCAAGAATGATGATCAGACCAAAAAAATGCAAGGGAGTAGATATGGTCTACTTCTTGTTACCACATTGGAGAAGCCTCTAAAGGTTGTTAAATATATTAACAAATGTACCCCTCAGACTTGTAGTGAGAAAGTACTCAGCAGTCCTATGAAATAGAACCTTTTTAAAAAAAAGGTGTCTTCATAGGGCATTTTTCAGGTAAGACCAAGGGAGGCCTATGTTCTCTAATCAGACTTCAAAAGAAGAAAGTTCTCCGGAAAGAACAGGGCAGGGTCAAATTGTGTTTTGGTTTACAGCTTTTTATCCCTCTTTACTGAAGGAATCAGTTGGGTGGGAACCAATATTTTAGAAAGAATTTAGTTAGACTAAACATTTTACTGTTCTTTAGGTAAGCCCCACACCACAACAACTCTAATAATTTAGGCCTAGACAGAGCATTTGAGGTTATCTCCACCTAAAGCAGTGGTTCCCAAACTGGGGTTTGTGAACCCCGGGGGAGGAGAGGGGGGAGGTTCACCAAATGTTACAGGGGGCTCTCGGAAAAAAATTCCCTAATGGCGGACAGAGCTCTCCGTAGGGATCCCGGACAGCACGGGGATAGCAGCCTGGAGCCTTGGGGGCTTCCAAGAGCTAAGCAGATCAAAGCAAGAATTTCTATCACACTGAGGAGATTTAAACTTCAAGACTCCTTATAAGAAATGGAAAGGGAGGTGGATATTTTTTGCTGTTCTTAAAAATTAAATAGGCAGCTAGTATTGTTTTTAAAGTTATTAATAAGAACAAATTTAAGCTTTGTTGTAATGTGCATTGTTCGCCTGGACTGCTCAAGACCTGAATGCTTGTGTAGGAGGAACTCTGAGTTGTCTTCTTAAATACCTTCCTGCTGTTTCACATCTATACTCCTTGATGAAACACAGGAATCAGAGGTGCCAGTACGGGGAGAAGGGGGGAGCGGGGGGAGGGGCTTTAAAAGCTTAAAATTTTTACCCTGGGAATTATTTCTAATCTATATTGAAAAGATAACATCCTTTTTAACTGTAACATCACTGTGTAATCTCAGCGTGATGGAATACTGTTTCTCAAGTGCAGGCCTATAGTCAAGGTTCCAGCATTTAGCTGTTCAGAGACCAATTACAGCATTTTGCAAGACAGATTACTAGTGTTCTCAAATTGTGCTAAAATACTTGGTCATGTCTCCTGACCTGATTATAGTTTAGATACACCTTAAGAAGCAGACTTTAATTTGCCAGATTGTAGGATGTCATAGCAGCTCCTAAACTGCTTGCAAAAAGAGGAACAAGGTGGGTGGGATAGTCTTTTATTGGACCTACTTCTATTGGTGAAAGAGACAAGTTTTTGAGCTACAGACCTCTTCAGGCCTGTCTTTCACCAACAGAAGTTGGTCCAATAAAAATATCTCACCAGCCTTGTCCCTCTAATATCCTGAGACCAACATGGCTACAATACTGCAAGAAGAGGGTATAAAATAGGATAACAGTACTTTAAAAGCAGCATGTAACAGTTTCAAAGCAAGCCGAATGAAACATTAAGGCTTATGATAAACAGGAATAAAAAAGTAGCAGTTTACTTACCGAAAGAAAAGGAAATAAGTGAAAGCATGAAAAACAGCAAAGCCAAGAATTAAAGCACATTTTCAGAGGGGAAAACAATATCCACTGCAACATTCCATCCTGCTCCACGTACGCCACTGCTGAGAAGCCATCCGCTTCTGTTTTCTATCAGAAGCAAGACCTTAGATTTTCCTTTTAGATGAATTTCCAGCCAGGTATGCAGAAAGTGACATGGTCATTTAGAGACTCATCACTTGACAAAAAAGGTAGCATACTAAAAGCAGACATTTTGCAAGTGGGGGGGGGGGGAGAAAGAGTCTGTAAATGACCATTGCATCCAATGGTTTCACCTTCTCCACTTGACTCCAACAGCCTTTAACAGTTCACACAGTAACTTTTACTACCTTGGAGAAAGATGAGTAAATAAGGTAGTGTATTTTTAAACAATTACACTGTCCTTTTCACAAAAACTAGCAATCAGAGGAGTAAGTCTGGATAAAATGGGCACAAGTTTGTTAGCGTATCACTTGCTACTGGGCCTTCTTCAAATTTTATTCTAATGCAGTCTTGGAAAGACGGTCCAGAACAGAAGGTGGGGCAGTAGCTTCTCCCAAGCCACCAGCACTAAGAACCAGAAAGCCTGTCTAATAGCTTCTCCTGGAATGGAGCCTGCCTTACAAGCTAGACTGGGCAGAGTGACTGGCTCCTTTCGCAGAGAAAAATATCAAGAGAGTTGGCTAGAATTTTTCTATGCGTTGAACATCTTATGTCCATGAAGGGAGCAGTGCACAGAAATCCAAGAAATAATGGAACAAGCAGTGGTCATCTCTAGAAGCAGCAGCAGCAGAAAAAGAAGTTACTCTTTGGTATGCTTCCTGAAACTAAACGTTAAGGGCAATACACTCATCTCAGGAGCGGTTTTGGATAGATTTTACTGCTGCTGACCTCCCAGGCAGTTAAGTTTATAACATGTATGCATGATGAGAAGTATGGGGAGGGTGAGATACAGTGGTTTGAGCATTGGCCTGCTAAACCCACGGTTGTGAGTTCAATCCTTGAGGGGGCCATTTAGGGAACTAGGGTGAAAAATCTGTCTGGAGATTGGTCCTGCTTTGAGCAGGGGGTGGGACTAGATGACCTCCTGAGGTCCCTTCCAACCCTGATAGTCTATGATTGTATGATTAAGGAAAATTTCAAAACTAAAGTTGTTTTGAATAAAAGTAAAACTTCTGAAAGTCTAAAAGTGAATTGGTTAAATTTTTTTGGAATTTAGGATTTCACTGAAACAATTCAGCAAAACCATTTTACAAATTCATAAAGTGATTTGGTCAACCCACATCTTCATTTTTCACCAAAAAAAGTTTCAGATGAAACATTTCAGCCAACTCCAATTGTAAAAAGTTCATTGCCTTTAAAAAAGGAAAAAAGTATTGGTGTAAAAGAAAAAGAAAAAAAACTATACAGGTGTGCCTGATTGGAAGTACTGGTAAGTCTGATCATCAGGATAGCCATGCAATTCAGACCACTAATTAATGTAGTCTAGTATTCAGTCTCTAAAGATGCCCAGTAGCCTCAGAGGGGTGGGGGAAAAAAGAAGAGAGAGAGGTAAGAATCTATACATGCTAACTCATGGTTTACTCTATTGCATCTAATAGGTAGCAAACTATAGGTATGGCATATCATTTCGGGGCTGAAGGCATTAAGGGTTCAAGCATGAGGGACAATGTACTGAATAGAGAAAAACAGTGATTCACCTTCTCATAACTGTTGCTCTTGCCCATTCCAATCAGATGTGCGTGTGCTGCATACACAACAGCCAGAAGATTTTCCCCCTAGCAGAATCTGTAGAGTCAGCCTGGGCGCCCCCTGGAGTCGTGCCTTCATGGCACCCAATATAGGGCCCTGCCAACCCGATCCCCCCTCAGTTCCTTCCTATTCCGACAGCGGGGTAGGAGGGTGGGTATTGGAATGGACATGACCACCCCATCTCGAAGAACAGTTACAAGAAGGTGAGTAACTGTTTCTTCTTCGAGTGCTTGTTCATGTCCATTCTAATCAGATGACTCCCAAGCCTAAGTTCTGGAGGCAGGGTTGGAGTGGTCTACTGATTGGAGCAGCACACTACCAAAGCCTGCATCATCTCTGGCTTGCTGGGTGATCGCATAATGTGCAACGAAAATACAAATTGAGGGCCATGTCACCGCTCTGCATATTTCCTGGGTTAGGAACGTGAGCCGGGAACGCTGTTGTAGAGGCCTGTGCCCTGGTGGAGTGCACAATAATTGGATGGGCAGCCACCCCTACCAAAATTATAGCACTCACGCATGCAGGATGTGATCCATGACAAAATCTGTTGAGAAGAGACAGGAAGACTTTTCATTCTGTCTGCCAAAGCCATGACTAGTTGAATGGATTTTTGGAATGGCTTTGTTCTCTCAATGTAAAAAGCTAGTGCTCTGTGGACATCCAATGAGTAAAGACTCTGCTCCCTATTGCTCCAGTGTGGCT